TTCACTAAGTTTGTAATTTGTTTAAATGTCATCAGTAGACAAATACTTGACAACCAAGATGATAAAAGTAAAATAAAAAGGTTGTCATCAGTAGACAAATACTTGACAACCAAGACGATAAAAGTAAAATAAAAAGGTTGTCATCAGTAGACAAATACTTGACAACCAAGACGATAAAAGTAAAATAAAAAGGTCAACTGCTCAGTTCGATACACGTAGACAAATACTTGACAACCAAGACGATAAAAGTAAAATAAAAAGGTTGTCATCAGTAGACAAATACTTGACAACCAAGACGATAAAAGTAAAATAAAAAGGTCAACTACTCAGTTCGATACACTTATTCCTCATCTTACTCTCTGGAATATGGCTGTGTCTGATGCTACATCCTAGCCTTTTCGTTTTGAATTATAATTTAACATATCGAAAATAAAATACCCTGATCATGTAGTTCTGATTACAGATCATTATTGTGTTACAACTTGCGATGGTTTTAACAAACCAACGTAACATTTGAAGTAAATTATACATTCTTGGCATACATTTTGATGTTTCTACTCGTATACTCGTTAACTAAAAAGAGTCCCCTGGTGGTTAGATGACAAGCTAAACATTTCCGTCCCATACCTAACTAAAGTGAATAAACAACCTGGAATGAAACAACATTTAAATCCACGTTTAAGCTAATTTGATCGTTTTTAGTCAGTTTGATTATATATTAGTTTTTAACAATGTGTTGTTTCTTTTTCGAAACCATTACAAACGCCCAATATAAACGGGAAACATATGTTCCAGTTCATGCTGGGTCTTTGGATATGTGTTTTTATCTTGACTGAAATGCCGTGTATTGGTTCGTAATGAAACTTTGGATATCGTATTCATAATTCCTCAGGGATAAATTAGTAGTTTTTTAATGTTCTGTCTCGCAAGGTCCCATCACTGAACGTGATCTCCGTTTGAGCCGTGGGGGCATTATAATGTGACGGTAAATCCCACATTTCGTTTGTACAAGAGTTGTCGGTGAGTGGAGTTGATTAGCTGCCTTCCCTCTAGTCTATCACTTCAAAATTAGGGTCGGCTAGCGTAGGTAACCCTCTAGACTGAGAAAAATCCTGAAGAACGTTGTTAAGGTAAAGTTTGAAGATACTTTCAGAGAAGAAAACAAATGTTTCTAGTATTGTCTTCTTGATTTAAGTACGTTAATGAACAAACGAACGGAAAACTCCGAAATAAATACGATGTTTGCAGCTAGATTCATTCGTTGATACTTAAAGATACAAAACATTATGCAAGTGTTGTCGCTTAAAATGGAAACGTGACTTCGCCAGACATGAAAGTGACACAATACACATATTGTGTATTATTGTTGACATGAAGGTGACGTAATACACGCATTGTGTATTATTGTGGACATGTAGTTGACGCAAAACATACGTTGTGTGTTATTGTATTCCTCACTAATAGGGAGTTTCAGTGAATAGTTACACTGGTATATCCTTTAATGTAATGAGTTTGAGTGAATAGTTCCACTGGTATATCCTTTAATGCAGTAAGTTTGAGTGAATAGTTACACTGGTATATCTATTAATGCAAAAAGTTTGAGTGAATAGTTACACTGGTATATCCTTTAACGCAATGAGTTTGAGCGAATAGTTACACTGGTATATCCTTTAATGCAACGAGTTTGAGTGAATAGTTGCACTGGTATATCCTTTAATGCAACGAGTTTGAGTGAATAGTTGCACTGGTATATCCTTTAATGCAACGAGTTTGAATGAATAGTTGCACTGGTATATCCTTTAATACAATGATTTTGATTGAATAATTACACTGGTATATCCTTTAAGGCAATAAATTTGAGTGAATAATTACACTGGTATACCCCTTACTATAATGAGTTTGAGTAAATAATTACACTGGTATACCCCTAACTTTAATGAGGTTGAGTGATTAGTTACACTGGTATAC